AAATATTCTCACTTGGATTACAAAATATATACATGATTACAAACCCTAACATTCTAATATTAATTCCACAAGTGAAGTGCAAGAATCCAAATTATTAATTTCAAATGCCCCACCGGGGCTAAGGTTCGAGTGGAAATGCCCAACCTCCGGGATGTGCTTTACAGGAAAATGGCTGGGCGAGGGGGATGGACACACTTGGATTTGGCTGATGCATTAAAAGTCCTGTGCTTATTCCAGACTGCTTGTCAAATATTTACTTGCTAGAAGTAGAAATTTACTCTGACCACTGGATGAAGAAGATATTAAATAAGTACTGGCCAATAAACAGAAATGTATTTTATTTCATAGTGTTACAATTTTATTTTTATACTATAAAAATAAAATATAAACATGCAGCATAGAATATGCAAATTCGAGGCAAAATTATTGTTGAATCGGTTTATTTATAGGATTTTATAACAAATAGCAACTATAAAAGTTTGTACCTTGTCTTCATCGATCGCTTTATTCTGTTAGCCAATGCTTTTAAATTTACATATTTTAGAATCAGTTCCTTTCCCGGTAACTGCATTTCTAAATGAAATCGGATCAACGTGAGTAGTGAGTGCTGAGCAGGCCCTTTTACTATAAACAAATTTTAGGAATTGATAACAACTTTGAAAATTATATCGTTGCACATTCGGTCACAGTCGGAAAAATGTTCATAGTATGTTGTACCGTCGCTTGCAACTAACGATGAACAGTTGCTCATAAAAACATTCGCGTGATTAGAATCTCCAATGTTTGTCAAGAACAACAACACTTAATTGTTGTTTCCCATGAGTACAATAATAAGTAAAAAAAACTTTTTGTGGTCTGAACGTGTTGGGCTAGAGACCTACTGGAAACCTTTACAGGCTTTTTAATGAGAATAGAGAATGTTTTATCTGCAACTGTTCACCTTTAGTTGCAACCGACGGTATTTGACAGCATAAAATTGCCTGTGGCTGTGATAACTGATATAAATAAAATACAGTCTGGTTATACTGACTTGAGCGTGTCTTGACAAACTCTTTATTGGAAAATTGTGAAGAAACAGTCGAATATAGAGGGTCGAATATCATACTTCAACTCGTATAGCTACAGTAACATTAGTAGATTACTACATAGCATTGTGAAGACAAGCCTTTTCTTACCTTTCGCTTCACTCAGCAGTCTTTTCCATGCTTCTCTACGCTTTCCCAGGCGAGCTTCTCTTTCCTCAGCAGTCTCCTCGAGCAAACGTTGTCGTCTTCGCTCCCTCCTTTTCGCTAGACGTTCGGCTTTCTTGTCGTTTCTTTGCCGCTCTTCATTTGGCCGCTCTTCATTTGGCTCCATATCTTTTCAATTGGTATTTGATACCATAATTGTTTTATTAAACTTTTTTATAGAACAAATTGCTTTGAAAGCTGTCAAAGTTTTTTGCAAACGTACAAAATACTGTAGTGTAAAAAGCAAATTATTTTCATGGAGTATCTGTCAATTGAAGTCGTCATTTGTCATACAACAACAAATTTTAAATTTGACCAATCAGTGTTCGCTATCCATGACAGTCCGCCATATTTTTGAGATCAGTGAGGATGACCACCCACTCAACACCGTTGGTCACCCACGCCCGCGATATTTGATGAACTTTAGACTCCGCTAATGCTTTCGTTTCCCCGGGTGTAAATAGCCGGGGGGAATTAGTACCCTCGCACGGCGCTTCGCGCCGCTGGCTCGGGGAAAATATTTTTTCGATAAATTTGGAGCAAGAACACTATAATAGTTTAAAGACTGGAGATCAGTGAAAATGTAGCCATCCATTACAGGTTTAAGTTGAAATAAATCACCGATTGTGATGATGCTAACACCACCAAAGTCGTCTTTGCTACCTTTTAAATCTTTTAAACGGTTATTTAACTGTATTGTAAACATACTGTTTCCAACCATTGATATTTCATCAAGTAATATCAACTTTAATGCACCCAGTTCACATCTTAAAGTGTTCAACCTACCAGAGTCTAGTGGTTTATAAATTTTAAGCGATTGGCTTGCTGGAATTGATAAAGCACTATGAATTGTGTTTCCTTTAATTACATAAGCTGCTTTTCCTGTTGGAACAAGCAACAATACTTGAACGGGACGAAAGACTTCGCCAGCTCGTTTGTTATAGTGCTTTAAAGCAGCTTGATAAATTGACTTAATCAAGTGAGATTTACCAACTCCTCCACTTCCACTTAAAAAGGCATAAAATGGGTCATCAGATATCTTCATTAAATGTAAAGCATGATAAAAAAATTCCCTTTGTTTCTTGTTTAGCATTTGGACCAAACGTCGGTATTCATCATCTTCCATTTAATTTAAAATAAGTGGTTCATTATTAGCTAACCTTGACGGGATACCCTAGTCATCATAAATTATGTTTCATTTAAATCTGGATGTGTATCTGTATTACCTTCATGCTCATCCCGACGTTCAGTGTCTTGTGCAACTAGGTGCTATTGTGTCATACGCATCCCCATCACATTCTTGTAAGTGATGCTGAATTTCATTTATGTCTTCACTACAAACCGCACATTGTTGCATTTGTTCACTGATCTCATCACGACGAGCTTAGTAATTTTTATTTTCTGTGTTGGTGTTGTGTACTCAGGTGAATATGATATTTGTGATGTTACTCTGAATGTATATCCACACCGGGCGAGCTTGAAAAATATGCTCGGCCACGGTGGGATTCGAACCTACGACCTTTGGAATACTAGCCTAATGAAGGAACTAGATTCTGTTCCGAAATATCACTTACTCGAACCGTCCTGACCGCATAGCTCAGTTGGAAGGGCATTGGGCTAGTATTCGAAAGGTCGTAGGTTCGAATCCCACCGTGGCCGGGTATTTGAAAATGGCTTGAACTGTTTGAAAATGGCTTCCCAATATATTATCTCTCCGTTGACCCATATAATTAACGAATGCATCGCACACAATATGTTTCCTTCCTCGTGGAAAATAGGACGTATTAGTCCTATCCCGAAAATCAGTGAACCGATAGAGAATAGTGATTTTAGACCAGTGTCAGTGCTGCCAATTTTATCAAAGGTATTTGAACGCCTGATGCTATCCCAACTTGTTGAGTATATTGAAGAACACAGTTTGTATAAAGAGACAATGTCCGGTTTCCGTAAGGGTCACTCAACCATGGCCGTTCTGTTGAAACTTAAGGATGATATCTTGAGAGCAATGAAAAAGGGGAAATAACATTGGCAGTCTTTACTGACTATTCAAAGGCTTTTGATACGGTTGATTTCCAGGTGTTACTGAATAAATTTCATCGGATAGGTTTTCCAAAGGATTTTTTTATATGGATTTATAGTTATTTAGATGGCAGACAACAGTTTTTGTACAAATTGATGATCGACAGTCAAGATTGCTACTAGTAACATTCGGTGTTCCACAAGGGTCAATTCTGGGTCCAGTTCTCTTTAACTTATATATGGCAGGTCTACAAGATGATAAATCATCCGATTGCAATTATCTACAATATGCGGACGATACTAGTTTAAATAAACATTGTAAGGTAAAGAATTTGGATAACTGTAGCGAGGTCATTGGGAGGGAGTTAGCCCGGGCTGATGGCTGGTCATCAAATTCGAACTTGCTTTTGAATCCTGGTAAAACCAAGATGATGATATTTTCCACAACACAGATGTCTACCACTCACTAACTTTCTTCCCTGGATTTGGTTAAAATCAACATCAATGATCAGTGTATTGAACGTACGTTTTCTTGGAACGTCCTGGGAGTGGAACTAAATGAGCATTTAAAGTGGAATTCACATCTGGAAAAGGTAATAATACCAACGTATTCGTCCCTGGCTTGCTTGAGGAGGCTGAAACGTTTCACGCCGTTCTCATTGAGAAAACAATTAGCAGAATTATTGATTTTATCCAAACTGGATTATTGCAATTGCCTATACGGATCCTTGCCTGATTATTTGCTCAAACGACTGCAAAAAGTCCAGAATGCTGCGGCAAGTTTTGTGATTCGTAAATTTGCGAAAGTTAAAGATGTACTAACATTGGGATGGATACCAGTCAAAGAAAGGATTGAGTTCAGTATTGGGAAACTGGCGTATCAGGCCCTAAGAGATGACAAATGGCCAAGTTATCTATCGCTCCAAGTCAAAAGAGTTTCAAGAGTTCTGCGTAGTAACTGTGACGGTGGTTTGAAAATTGAATATTCTAACATTGAAGACAGTTTTCAATCCAATGCTGCTAGAGTTTTTAATAGTCTTCGAGAACATTTGAAACTAATGGATTTTAAAAATTATAAAATTACTCTTAAAAGAATTATATTAGATCAAGGTAGAGAAATGATTGATAAGGATTGATTGATTTTCTCACATATAAACCTGATTTTAACCATTCAAATTTATTTATATTGTAGTTGTAGTTGTACAAAACAGTTGTAAAAATTTAGAAATAGTTTGTTAGTTTTTTTAAATGTATGGATGAAGAGCCATTTTTCGAGCTTCGTAATGTTCTTCAAAGGAAGAGTAATTTCCAATTAAATCGGCCTGTTGATTTCGCCATGGAGTAAAAACCATGATTAACTCACGATGTTTTTCTGGTTGAGATTTTTTGTTAAACCAAACACTGCGGATAATTCTTGTTTGCGATCTTTTTTTGATCGACTTTTTAGATGAAACACAACTTTCAGTGTTTTGAACACCTAGGTCATCATCGTTATTTTCATCTTGATCTTCCAAAGGAAGGTTGTCAATATATATCTGATTTTTTAACAGATTTCTCTCGTACCAAGCTGCCCTGCAATCAGCTAAAGTAATATTTTTCAAACTGTCTGGTCGTTCTACATATCGTTTCAGAAGTCTACCAGAGTGAATTTCTTCAGATTCGTCTGACATCTTCTCAATCTCACTGAGAGGTTTCAATAGTTCAACACGATCACTTGGAGGAGATTTGTTAATGAATACAACATTTCGAGAAGATTTTCTCATGGGAAGTTGCAGAATGATGTACACTGCTTCTTGTGCACTTATTTCAACCGAGTTTAAAAACTTGTTGCCAATGTCACGGACCTGTTGTTTGATGGTGGAATTACCTTCCTTAGCTTCAGCACATGCGTTACGTAACAAATCACTCATTCCTTTTTCAGCTTTAGAAATATAGGAAACAATGTACATGGCACAGGCATATACATCCAGCACAAATTGAATGTCCATGTTAGCTCTCCATGCCTGGAGGTAAGCAGGGTTATAATTATTAATTCTTAACTCATTGGGGCTTCTTTTTAGAAATATTGTTGGACAATTTAGTGATGATCGAATAGCAAGAATATATTGATATTCTGAAACATCTAGTTCTTTCAGAAGTTGCTCAAATGTTACATCTTCTCCCTCTTTTAAATCATTTAGTTTATTCTTAATATTTTTCCACAACCCTTTTCTGCCTCTTATGACAGTTTCAGAAGCATTGTCGTCAAGTGGGTGAAGTATCTGTGTTGATCTCATGGGTGGCTGAGGATATACTGAGTGGTCTACTACCTTCATGCTCACCAGGTGCAACATTGTATATATGTTGTCTTTCAGTATCATCTACAAAATCAATAGGTGTAAGCATACTGTCTGTTATACTTGCAGGAATTTCTGCTTAATCTTCACTCCATTCATCTTCTGAAGATGCTGAATTAGTTTGAACAACTGTAGTATACTCATTGTCACTATTAGGTGTTGGAACATCAAAGTATGATAACCAATGCTGATCAAAAGTTATCCCTTGTTCTCGCTATAGTTCACTAGTATTTACCAACCAAGCTGCAGATTGCATCACTTTGTTAGGTCTCACATTCAAAGACAAGGCAGAACTCTTATATTGAAGTCGACGTTTTAACTGAACTTTATTAGTCCCAGTATCTTGTGGTAACCTGGGTAGCATGTTCACGGTATTACATATGTCTGCTGGTACATTCACAACATTACCAGTAATTTTAAGTTGGCGTCCTCTTGGAGCTTGCATTATTTTTTAAAATGCCAATCTTGGAGCTATAAGTCTGCATTCTAATTCATTCAAATCAAAGAAGTCAGGTTTGTCTGGAAACTTCAAGCCATTTGAAACTGCAGATGGTGGCAATTTATCCTTTTTAAGATGTTTGTCACATGTCAAACACAGCCATTCAATATTTTCACACTTTTAATGCCTTGTAGATGTTTAGTAGAATTTGGATTGGACAATCGAAGTCTCTCAGCAGGACAAACACTGTGTTTATACCATAATTGATCACAGCATGAACATATATACAGAGGACCTATTGATACAGATTTATGGAATTTATGTATCAATTGTGGTACACTATTATGTGATATACTGTTATCATTATTGAGATGACCTCGAGAACCTGATGGAGGACATTGTTTGTTTTTTCCAGAACGTCTACTTTTATTTTCCTTATAATTAGCTCTTACTTTTGCTAATCTTTGCTCTCTTTGTTCGACAGTTTCATTTTGCCTTTTCAACCTTCGTGCTTTTCGCTGGTTTTGAAGCCTATTTTCCCTCTCTTAAACAGTTTCTTGTTTTCTTTTCTGTCTTTGCTTTGCAAGTCTATTCTCTCTCTCTGCAACAGTGTCTGGTTGTTTTGCCTGTTTCCTTTTCTCTTCTTGCTTTACAAGTCTATTTTCCCTCTGTGAAACAGTTTCTTGTTTTCTTTTCTCTCTTTGCTTTGCAAGTCTATTCTCTCTCTCTGTAACAGTTTCTTGTTGTTTTGCCTGTTTTCTTTTCTCAGCTCCTTGCTTTGCAATTCTATTTTCCCTCTCTGAAACAGTTTCTTGTTTTCGTTTTTCTCCTTGCTTTGCAAGTCTATTTTCCCTCTCTGAAACAGTTTCTTGTTTTCTTTTCTCTCTTTGCTTTGCAAGTCTATTCTCTCTCTCTCTGTAACAGTTTCTTGTTGTTTTGCCTGTTTTCTTTACTCTCCTTGCTTTGCAAGTCTATTTTCCCTCTCTGAAACAGTTTCTCGTTTTCTTTTCTCTCCTTGCTTTGCGAGTCTATTTTCCCTCTCTGAAACAATTTCTTGTTTTCTTTTCTCTCTTTGCTTTGCAAGTCTATTCTCTCTCTCTGCAACAGACTCTTTTTGTTTTGCTTGTTGTCTTTTCTCTCTTTGCTTCTCTCTTAGCTTTGCAAGTCTGTTTTCTCTTTCTATACCTGACTCTTGTTGTTTTGTTAGTTGTTCATGGTTATTTGATGTTGTGTCGTCGTTCGTTGTGTTATCCAAACTGTTTGACAATGAAATCTTTCTATGACATTTAACACCCTTCAATTCAAATAGACTATTTTCGCTATTGTGTCCAGGATAGTTACAACTGTTATGAAAAAAAATTATAAGGTTTTGAATTCCTTCAATAGAAACTAAAACCCTATAACCCATTGCTGCTGGTATTCCATGCATATCTCGTGAATGAGATTCAAAAACTTTAAGTACATCTGGGAAAGGCATTAAAACTGCAACAGTGTTTGCTCCAATAGTAAGTAAACATGCTTTATAATTACCAGCATTAAATACTTCATGAAAGGCATGTCCAAGTGTAACATACGGTTCATTGTTATATTTCATCCATAATTCTCCAGAAAAAGAGTCACTGTACTCCAAATTAAAAGTATCATTGTTGATAGACAATATTTCAGGAACATCAGTGAGCAACAAGAAATCTTTCTGAATGTGCTGACTAATTATGGCATAAAGATTGTTTGCATTAACTAGAAGCATGTTCATAAGTGGTGTATCCCAAATATTAACAGATTTTATTTCATTGTATACAATAACATAAATTGTCATGGCAACACATTGTTTTCCAGCGTTTATGCCAAACATGGATATATTACCTTGGTTGAATCTGCTCGAACCGTAAAACTATGATCAACAATATCATAGAAATTAATTGGGCCTGGATTTTCCTCCACATCATTTGCAAGCCTCAATAGGAATGGTACATAAACATGATAAGATACCTTTAGTGTATACCACACGCAAGCTTCATTGTTATTTTCAATCCTGGTAACTAGATTTTTTAAGCATGGTAAATAAAATATTTCTCAGTAAAACATTACTAACATATGGTTCCAAAATTTACCTTTCATATGATTCATGGACTGTCGTGCTTGCACAAAGTTGTTATGTGAACCAATTCGTAGTCTGCATATCTCAATTGACACACCCATATTTCCATATTCTCACTGTTTGGAATAAAATAGTTTCGTTACAGTAATTGTCAATAAGTATAGCGTACTGTGTATTTTTAGTATTGTCTTTTACAGTTTGTATTTGTAATTATTTTAAAATTGCACAATGGCAAAGTCTCAATAATCCCGGCAGAATGGCAATGGGCTGCTTTTTTACCTGCACAATGGCAAGGTTCAATTTGAGTGCGTGGCCTTTCACGCAAATAGCGCCTGATAAATAATCAGTGCGAGCACAATGACTCCGTTTCAATTTGAGTATTTTGAGAGCTTGGCCTTTCACGCTAATAGCGCCCTGGTAAATAATCAGTGCGAGCACAATGGCTCCGTTTCAATTCAAGTATTTTGAGAGCGTGGCCTTTCACGTACGCTAATAGCGCGCTGATAAATAATCAATGCGAGCACAATGGCTTCGTTTCAGTTTGAGTATAAAATTGAGTATTTTGATAGCGTGGCCTTTCACGCTATATAATAACGCCTGATAAATAATCAGTGCGAGCACAAAGACTCCAAATTCACAACAGATAACAGAATATAAGGTAAATTAAAAACAGCAAAGCTTTACCTACCTTCTAAGGTCTTCTAAAAGCGCTCGATTATGTACATGTAAAATATTCGGCCAAGAATCGACGAAAATGTGCATGAAGTGTGGTTTCACAATTCACATCACATCACATGATCAGTTGTTCACATGATTCAAAATTTATAATTGTGCAGAGATAATTATGGAGCAATTTATTTAAAAAATAAATTGGGATTAATAAGAGGCAACATCCATACCTAAAACTATGTAACCTAAACGGTAACGATAACCAGGGAAAACAACCGCGTTGCTCTCCAGGCAATATCTGCCAAGCGTCAATATCAAACTGCCAATATAATCCCATTTTGCTAAGCCGACATTCTTCAGTTATCAGCAAAAGCTAGCCAAATTTTATCTCAGTTCACTCTGGTTTCAACGGTCTTCGAGACAACATAAAAGGAAAATTTTTCGTACACGAGTATGGCCGCGCTATCTTTTTCTCGGATATATCGAAGCTTCCAAGTCCCGACGTTCAGAACCTGGGAAACGGCTACTTTCTATCCACATCAGATCTGTTCGACTTTAAACCGGTGAGTGCGTTTCATATTCTCATTATACTTAAGGTGGCTCCCTAGGGTTTTTTAATTTACTAAACTGTAGTATTCAGGAGACTCCTGTTTCTTTACTTTACTTGACATGAAAACGAAATTTATTGGTCACATTGACAATGTTCTCCTGAACATTACAAATTGCTACTTTTGTGTTAAAAATATGTTGTCATGGCAACAGCATGCTTAGAATAAAGCCAAAATTTGTCTTTTTCAGGTCATTTTAAAAATTCACTTCGGTGAAATTTTTTAGAACTTTGCATAAAAGATAATACTTGAATAATGATTTTTTTCCATCAATTTAAAAAAACTAAATCGATACACTTCTTAGAAAATTTAAAAAACGTCAAAAATCAATATTAAAAATTTTCCCTTCGATTTAATTTTAAGAAAAAGGATATTGCACTTGTTGTGCCGATATTTAAAAATGTGCAAAGTTTTAAAAAAATTTAAGGAAGGAAAACAGAGATATTTGGGTTTAATTTTAGCAATTTTTACGGATTTTTACGCGAACAATTTAAGGGGCAATGTCACCGATTTTTGACCTAAAATGCATTTTATTCAAAAACTAAACTACAAAGTTAAAAATAAACACTGTAAATGGATTAAGTTATTATGTATGAGTCATATTAAACAACTTTGAACTTCCACAAAAGATGTAATATGACATTTTCATAAAAATTGACTAAAACTTGAAAAAGTGTCTGCCAACAATTAATCAAGATGCCATTTACAATCCATCTCAATCCTGGCGTAATCTTGCCCATCCAGACTTCTGTACATGTTTTTTGTGTCTGTTATTGCTTTATTTTGTGCTTACACTCATTCTTTTTCAGTTTTGGGCAAAATTTGCGAGGGTTGGAATTGCCCAAAAATCGGTGACATTGCCCCTTTACTACCCCAACTGACGTGTACATGCATTCTGCATAAAACAACAAAGCATGACTTTTTTGAAATCGCAATATATAAATTATGTTTTATATACTGTTTATAACTGTGTCGGTTAATGATCAACTAAGCGTGGATTGTACATGTAAAATTGGCAAAGAAATTTAGGTAATTACTGGTTATGACTTCTTGGTATTAATTTGAAAAATGTTTGTCAAAATTCG